TTACGAGATCTTGAAGTTGCAACAAAACGATTTTCAAAGGAGAATGTTCTTGGCGAGGGAGGATATGGAGTTGTTTATCAGGGACATTTGGTTAATGGGACGCCAGTGGCAGTTAAGAAGCTCCTCAACAACCTGTGAGTTTGAAACTCTTTATTTATTTCTTACCTTTTTAGTTTTTCACTGTACTATTTTTCATCAGTTGCCTAAATTTCAGAGTTAAATATTTGTATTCTTTGTGTTTAGAGGCCAAGCGGAGAAAGAATTTAGGGTGGAGGTTGATGCTATTGGCCATGTGCGTCACAAAAATTTGGTTCGCCTTTTGGGATACTGCATTGAAGGAACTCATAGGTACTATTCTTGATCAGACTATCACATGATTGCTTGTCTATGGGTATTCATACCCAAAAAGAGTCACCTCCAATGTTAGAAAACAAAATCTTGGAAGGAAAAAAATATTTTCTTTCATTTTCTTGTTGCCTATTTTATTCACACATGCATCCAAGTCCCAGGTGGGACTTCAAACCTGAACCTCGTTATCTCGGGTGGCAGGAGATTTAACTTAAACGAACTGCTGGTAATATTATGCTTGTAAGACCTGTATTCCTGCTCAGTTTTTGCTTTTCCTTTGTAACAGTACTTGTCTCATTTATTTTATCCATTTCAGGATGTTAGTCTATGAGTATGTCAACAATGGCAATTTAGAACAATGGCTCCATGGGGCTATGCGCCAGTATGGATATCTTACTTGGGAAGCCAGGATCAAGATTCTCCTTGGCACAGCTAAGGCGTAAGTTAAATCATCTTTGTCTTTCTTTGAACATTCATAGATCTCATTACATGTGGCACATTTGTTGCAGTCTTGCATACTTGCATGAAGCAATTGAGCCAAAAGTTGTTCACCGAGACATAAAATCAAGCAATATATTGATTGATCATGACTTCAATGCCAAGGTTTCTGACTTTGGACTGGCGAAGCTGCTTGGTGCTGGGAAGAGTCACATCACAACTCGGGTCATGGGAACCTTTGGGTTAGTATACCTTCATTATTAGTTCTAATATTCCCAAACCCTACTTAATTTATCACTTTATTCTTTCTTTTTTCGTTCTTGTTTCTTTAAGGGTTGGATTTGTGAAGACCTAGGTATAAGTTAGGCTGATTTAAAAGACATAATATTTGAGTTTTATTCTCTTTCTTTTGCTACGGTACAGATATGTAGCTCCTGAATATGCAAATTCTGGTCTTTTAAATGAAAAGAGTGATGTTTATAGCTTTGGGGTTGTGCTTTTGGAAGCAATTACAGGAAGAGATCCAGTGGACTATGGTCGTCCTGCTCAAGAGGTATGCATTTATCATGAGCTAATATGAGAATCTGTTAAAATCCGGACAGTGAAGATGATTCTGAATTTTCATTATTACAAAAATGTATCATAATTTGGATTCAGTGTGAAAACTTCAATAAATAATTAATCATGCATGTGATATTGGATATATTACTAAGATCCATTGAGAACAATTTAGGTTTTATTGTTTTTCTTGTGCGCCACTCTTATTAGTGATTTTGTTCTATAGCCTAAAATTAGTTAGTGTATTGATCCTACTCACTTAGTTACTTAAGATTTCTTTCAAACATTAGTACTTTAGACAGAATGAGGGTTTATGTGCAAGTATAGAGTTATTATGACGATTTATGTATTGATAGCATTTGTCTTATGACTTTGGTCATGACTCCATCCCCCGCCATGCTAATTACACAATTTTCCATAACTGGCCAACTCTTTTGTGGTATTTGCATAATGTCCACATTTTCAAGATGTAGATATTTTTGAGTTATAAGATTTTGGGGATTTTGTTAGGTATTCAGCCCACTTGTGCAAATAGATCTCCTCCTCAATACTTCTTCTCAAATCCTAACATGGTATCAATTCAGGATTTCTAGTGTTTGAATCCCAACATCATCCTAATAATTATAAAACTTGCACATGTTTGGCCCAACTAAAAGCTTAAGTTGTGATGGTGATTGTAACAAAATTTTATATACTTTAACACGCCTCCTCACCGGAGGGCCAGATTTTGGATGAAACACGTGCAAATTTTATAATTCTTGGGTTGACGATGAGATTTGAATACAAGACCTGATCTAATACCACGTTAAACTGCTATCTCATCAAAATTGTAAGTTATTAGAGATGATGTAATAGAAATATTTATAAACTTTAACAGGCTCCCTCACAACTGACAGATTTTAAGTTAAACACGTGCAAGCTCTATAGTCATTAGGAAGATAAGGAGATTCAAACGCAAGACCTGCTGTGCTAACACCATATTAAATACTCTCATCTATTAAGTTGTTAGAGAGGGTGTAATATAACTGCTTATATACATCGGCTTATTTATCATTTTCACTTTTCTTTATATATTCTCCTTTTCTGTTTGTCTTTTCCTCTTTATTTTCCTAGTGAGGCTTATATTAATTTTGTTGATCATATAATTTTCTGAAACGATATCCACATCAACAATCTATTTACAAGTTAGGGATTGGGACATATCCCCTTTATTGGTATTTAACACCTGTATGTTGTTATAAATTTATTATGCATCAATTCTATTGATGAGGTTTATGGAATTGTTCCATCACCACATATATTTCAAACAGCTAAATGTCTTGCAAGCTCTTTTGTTTTTATCAATATATGCTCTGCATGGATCCATTTATACCTTTTCAGTATTTAATTTTGAAACATTTATGTGCTCTGTATCAGTTGCTTGTATATAATATCCGATGTAGCTATGCTAAAATCTTTAATTTATGGAAATTAATAAATGAAGTCTTTAAGGAAAAAGGAAAGAAAAAACCTTTCTTTCTTTCAGCTGGTTGATTTGTTACATGCTTTCCACTAACACCCACCGTTTTTGACTTATATCTGGTTATTTGACTTCAAATATGCACTGATTCGTCAATATCTGGAGTTTCACTGTCTTTTCAAGTGTAACCCTCGTGATGGTTTGCAGGTGAATCTTGTTGATTGGCTGAAAATGATGGTTGGAAGCAGGCGCTCGGAGGAAGTAGTGGACCCTAACATTGAAACCCGTCCATCAACAAGAGCACTAAAACGAGCCCTTTTAACTGCTCTGAGGTGTGTTGATCCAGATTCTGACAAAAGACCTAAGATGAGCCAAGTTGTCCGTATGCTTGAATCAGAGGAATATCCCATACCAAGAGAGGTCAGTTTCTGATTTTACTATATATGGCCTAAACAATTTGTTTTTTTTTTTTTTTTTTGGATTTATCGAAAAGGAAACTGAACAAATTGCGCCTGGTTTTGTTTGAATTAATCTTCTCCCTAGTTCCACCTCTAGAAAAAGTGAATTTATCTTTTTTTTTTCCATTCAAACAATTTATTTACATCAGCTTTGCTCATTTTATGTGTAAAACATTTTAAGCTACAGAGTTAATGCCTCATACAGACTTACAGAATTTTGCCACAAGTTTTGAAATAAATTTGTATTCGTAATTCATCTAGTATAACACAATGAGAAACTTCCTGCATGTTCTGTGACGCCCCAAAAATCGAGAGTCCCGTTGATCACCCATCAACCCGCGGAATACCTGTGGAGATCATATAACTCGATACTATACCGTTGTGTCTCATTTATCGGGATCCATAATTTAACAAAATCGGGCGGAGTCTCCTTTGTACGAAGAGCTCCACCCAAGATACAACTTGTATACCATACAATCATATGACCCATTCAAGGTCTAACATACCACGTTGACCATACCGGGTCCATTTATCCATACTCCCACATCATAAGTTATGCATTAACATAGTTAATAAAAGTTCAAGGTTACAATTTTTTTACATATATTACATGTCAAACATAGTTTGAACAAAAGTTTACAAAACAGTCATGGTTAAAGGCCAATTGTCGGCCCCTCTTCACCCTTAAGGCCCCATATAAGAGTCCTCTGCCGGTGCGCACCTTGCACCTGAAATGTTTCCTGTATAGGGTGAGCCAACGCCCAGTAAAATATTTTCTACAGAGGCTACTCCCCATTCTAAGTGCATATGAAATGTGCACATGCAACAAATAACCACTTTTTTCATTCCAAACAAGAATAATGCATTCAATGTTGGAACATGATAATATCATGCCATGAAATGAGATGAGACTCACTCATGCATCTAATCCCGAGTCCACACCGACTCCCACCACACAATGCGATGCAAATGTGGTAAAACATTTGTCTTTGAATGGAATACATCCAAAGATCACCTTTTAAAAAATGTAATCCATGTTTTATAAAACTAATTCATTCTTGAATGTTTCCCATCAAATGAATTTATTTTAAAACAAATCCATGTGTTTTTGTTGGGTAGCGAATTTTTGGTGTCGCACCGCCGGCTCCGCATACCGATACACTTTTTGGACTTTCACCGTCAGAGTGTATGAATCAGTGACCGGGTTTTTCACCTGAGGGAGTGTCTAGGCCTACTTGCCTTATCCGACACATGTTTTTCTTGTGACTCTGTTGAACCTTAGTCCAACAGTACCGAGTCCAAGTTTTTCATGCAACCGTGCGACTCAATAGGATGTTTCATCCTACTTTTCCGAGCCCACCACCAACCACCAAGGATGATGATTGTCCAACCATGCAACCACACCCATGCTCATGGTTATGGATGTGTTTATCTTGTGCATATTTAATGTAATGCCTCATTGCAAACTACTGCCATGTTCAATATGTAATGAATGTCATATAAACAATTTAAACATATGCCATGATCAATTATATCCAAACATATAAATTTTATGATCATCATAATGCTAACATATCGTTAAGCATACATCAACATAACATTACAATTGTAAATCACATCATAAGCATGTAATTTCACTTTATCACATTTTTCAAGCATGCTATTTTATCAAACACAACTTCAATCATTCAAGGTATTTTATCAAACACCTTCAAGGCACCAATCATGTAATCACATAATTCACTCATATTCATCGTATAACTCAAGAAATCATATTAAGTGGTTTCTACCGTTGACCATCCGTCAACCCGTGGAAAGATCCATGAATGTCACACAAACCGATATCACGTCAATAATATCTCTTTTGTTTGGGATTTTAACTCACGTGTAACCCGTGATCCTTTAATCATTTAATCCAATCGAGGTCTATCACACCTCGATATATATCAAAAACCAAAGAACACATAGTGATGAGTGCAAAATGTTGTATATTTGAAGGCTTCATTACATGCATTTTAACTCAACTTTTGCATGTAAGCACTTAGAGTGAGCCGAAATTATGAATAATGTTGATATTTGGATGTTGCAAGTATTTATAGCATAAATCAAGTATTTTAGAACCTTGCAATTATTTTGGATGTGTGGTGAAGGTATGACCACATTACATGAGGATTTGGAGGCTTAGAAGTTAAGACATCAAAGAGGTATTGGTGTTTAGTAACAAAAGTACCAGCACTAGCTCCCTCTGGTGGAAGTACCTCTGTTTTTTCTCCATTTTTACCATATCCACTCAGAATCTGGAAAAGTTTAAAACACAAAAATTGTAGATCTAGATGTCTTCTGTATTGTGTCAAAATTTCAGCTCAATCCAACGGTTGGATCAAAAGTTATAACGATTCTACGACAACTGGTCAGGAGTAGAAAAGTGTACCGACTTTTCTTCACCCAATTTCTATATCCATTGCAAATCCTTTCTTACAAGATTTATTTAGCACATTTAGGCACCTTTTTCCTACACTTAACATACACTAATGGTTCATTCAACAAGATAATTTATCTCAAGTCATGGCCACCCATCCTCAATACCCCTTTTTAACTAAACCATCAATTTCAAACTAGAAATTGATTATATCCTTTCTACACCAACTCTATAACCATAGGCAAGTGAATTACATAGTTCCATATGCCTACTATTTTTCCATCCAACCAACTACGGTAGAAAAATTTTAAAATACACAAAACAATCCATGTAAACCCAATTTTTCAAGAGTTTACACTAATAACTTCCACATATCAAATGTGAGCTAAAACTTGATTTTTCTTCCTTCTCTTTTAATCTCCCTCACTTTAGGTTTTCAACAAGCAAGAACACACACACACTGATGTATGAGTTAAACACACTCACTTTTCTACATATTAAAGCACACATAACTTCCATCCAAGAAATTACACAAGTACTTCCACATAATAAAACAAAGTAGGACTTGAATCAAACTCATTCCACACCTACTTCCTTAAGGCATAAAATAACATTTGTTATTTAATCACAATTCACAACACACATGTTATACATAGCTCATGCTACTAATACATTCAATTTTCAAGGGATTTTACAAGTGATTTCCACATATCACATACAATTAGAAATTGACCTAAGCCATTTCTACACCCTTTTTCATTCCCATTTTATCTATTTCACATGCATAGGTGAGTGATATATATATACTCTTTAATAACCTACACATTGTACATACACTATAGGTAGGAAATGAACCAAGGTAGGAAAACCTCTACCTCTTTGAAGTGTGGAGACTTTAAAAACACCAAAACAAGCCCCAAGTTCTTGATTTTCCAAAAATTTGCCTTTGAATCTTCGGTGAAAATCGTTGTTTTTTGGTATAGACGCGTAGCTCTCGACGAGAGGAGCAATTTTAGTTCTTGGCTTGTGTCGATTTGAGCACCGTAGCGCCGTAGATCGTAGAGAGAAGGTGAGTTTCTCTTCTTTTTTCCTCTCTTGCTCTCTCTTTTCTTTTAACGTGAAGACCAGCCGACAATGGTGGGGAAGAAGTCTGATTTCTTGCCCTTTTTATAGTCCCAAAATCCTTGGCTCACAATGCGCCACATAGCCCATTCTTTCCTGGTCCATTTTAACTCCGAAATGATTAAATTTCGTCCCGATTTAAGTTTAAAATATTTTTATTTTAAATTATCTCAAATTATTTCTCAACTTTTAAAATTTTTGCCAAAATTTCGTTTTTTGAGTCACCCAAGACTCAACTGCCTCGAAAAACGTGAAAAATTCGACTATTTCGGAATTCGATAAAATTTGACAGGGTAACTAAATTTCGCGTGACGAATTCAACGGTGAAGTCCGTTTCGTCATCTGAGTTCCAGAAAATTTCAGGTTTTCGACTCGTACTGTAGTGACAAAATTACCGTTTTGTCCTTGTTTTCAAAAGTTTAAGTTTACCTGGTTTTACATGTTCAACCATCTTGCTCTAATTAGTGAGTAACCCTCTTGTTTCTCTATCCTTGTGGATTTTCTCTAATCTAATAGTTAGCATCCTTTTCATTACGTCATCTCTAAGGTCTCGTTCAAGGTAACAGAGAAAAAATCGTCCTGGGTGTCCAGCTACCAATCTTATGAAGACTCTAGTACCCACTTATTATACTTTTTAAATTTCATTATACATTTTTTATTTTTGTCTTCATCGTCTTGAAATCTGAGTTAAAGCATCTTCTACTGTTGTAGCTTAGCTACTTTGGTTCATCAACATAAACATATTATGTAAACATATGTCATATACCTCGTCCTTGATGAAAAGAAATTTATTTGGGAAGTGCCTAGGTAGGTTCCATTTTGATATGCGTACCTTTTCAATAAAGAAACATATAAATATGGTGTTTTGTACATTTTTTTTTGTGTTGGTATCTCTGAATTCCTGTGCATTGTTTCTTGATCACATATAGTTGCATGCACTTGCACATCCTTGTGTTGAAAATTTTACTCGTGAATATTTTATTCTGTTTCTACATTTCTGCATCATTATTGGATTTGGCTATTCAAAGCATTAATTCTTGAGGTAATAATAGATTTTGTCTTGAGAAATTGTACTAGAAGTGCATAACTGAGTAACACAAAGTTATTGCCCCAGTTGGTAATATTTGTAAATGGATGGGTGGGTACGGTCAAACAATTGATATTCTAGATTCCTCTTGCTTTATTTCTTGAGGCTGAGAACAGAGATTACCTACCTCTGAATAGTTCTATCATGAATATATGTCAATCTAGATTGCTTTAAGTTGCAGCCCTTAAAAGTCCTAGTGAAGAGGTAATATTCTGCGTTACTTATGGTTTGGCTGTGTAGAGTGTGAGGTAAGATATTTTTGTTTTCCAGAGGTTTCAAACAAAGATACTATTAAAGATTTACTCTTTTAGATATAGTATCGTGACTGTTGTTCAAGGCCCGCCAAATCTTAATCACTGTCAGTATGAAGGTGGGTCAGGAGTTCCGTTTGCTGGATAAATCCAATGACTTTGATACATCATTTGAAAGCATTATTCTTCATCAATGAATAGATCTCTCAACCAAATATTGTAATGATTCAGAACCATATATTCATTTGAACATTGTACTTTGTGGAATTCTTAGGATCAACGTATGAAATTCTTAGTGGGTCTCTCTTAATTGCACTTGATACACATTCTGACCAAGAACTCTCCATGAGCTTTAAATTGGCCTCTGGATTCATAAATGAGCCATAAAAATGAAGACCTATACTAATCTCCATTTGCCTATAGGAACACCACCACCACCACCACCACACAGCCAATCATAAAAGCAGCACCTCCCTCTTTGTGTGTGTGTGTGGTGTTGGCACTTCTTTGGTGGTCTTGGAAAGAGAGGTGATTAGTCTATTAGATATCTCTTTCTCCATTTTTCACCATCTTGACCTCATAACCCACAAGCTGGCTTTCTTTAACTGGATGATTATTATTTTTATTTTTCCCAATGCACCGAGTATAGAATTGATGTTAATAATGATCTATACTTGGGTGTTTATTGTTTTCACTGCTATAGGACCGAAGGCACCGAAGAGCTCAAGCAGGTAGCATGGAGATTGAATCCCAGAAGGAGAATTATGATTCAGATAAGTGTGACAATCCAGATCCAAGCTCAGAGAGCAGGAGGAACTACAGAACATGACTAAACATGTGATTTTTAACAGAAGATCTGGGGATCATATATACTGAAATTGGCAATTCTTGCAATTTTTTCAAGCTCTCTAAAACATGAGATTTGATTGTTGAAGCTGATATCTTCAAGGGTAGCATGGTGGGAGCCATTGGTTGGGAAGGGATAATTTTCTTTTTTGTCTTCTATTTTCAGTCTTTTTTCCCCCCTATTTTGTATGAAAGTAGATGGAGAGTTGATTGTTGTGTATGGAAGTGGTGGTATTGTACCAAAACTTATTAGGAGGATGTGTGTAAGTACAGAAAACATTTGTAAGTGTGTTTTTGAACCAAAACTTTTATATTGAAAAACGTGGGTTTAACACCACGCTTTAATGAAAAATCACGATAGATAGTGGAATTTTTTACAAAATATTGTAAATGGGTAGTAAAGATAGGAAATCATGGTAGATTGGAATTGATTATTCTTAGGTGTCAATTTGTGTTGAAGGAGTGATCCCCGCACCGAATGGGATGTTGTATATGCAAATGCTCTTTTCGTTGCAGGCACAAGCGCTGCAAACATGGCTACTTCAGCTCTTTTCAGAAGGGAAGGTGCTTTTTTAACAACAATTATCTGATCAATAGCCACACCCACGCCACACATAGAGAAGGAAGGAGTTGTGCCATCTCTATCGGTTAGTGTTTTTGCCTTTTTTCCTGTTATTGGGCCATTTGCGTGTTGTCATGTTTGAGTGGTGTCATTATAATTCGTATTGTGTTTGTGTTAATACCCACAAAAAAAAATATATTTAAGGTGAGGTTTAGAGCCAGAGGGCAGTAATTCTCGCTCTCTCTTTGCATATAGTAAATATAACGTGATATGAGCAATGCTATTTTGAATGTAATTAGGACCTTTATGGTCAAGAGATCAGCAATCTGTTCTATAATTGAATGGGATCTATTTTTTATTATATGACTATAATGAGTTAGGTCCAAATTATATATAAACAATATTTCAAACGTGAAATAATTCTGTATAGTGTATTTCACTCTAAATGTCACTTAATCGAGACAACCCATTATCTAGTGGTGTGAGATTTAATTGTATATTCTAAGTTTTGCTTAAATTTGTAATGAGTAATCTAACATTGGAGGAAAATGAGTTAGATGAGATCTAAATAGTGAATTCAGTGGCTCAAATATCAACATGTACACATTTCTTTCAATGTACTTTTATTTATTTTTTCTTCAATATTAGATCACGGACTATGAATGAGTGTAAGGGTTCACTTATTCGTAATGTGTCTTACTTGAAATCAAAATGAATGAAATTACCAAGGATAGTTCAAATGATAACATTGATAAGTTGTAAACCCAGACATTTTAAGTTCGAATTTTAGTAATTTTTTAGGGGCCAAAGCTATGAGGGATTTGTTCCTCATGATTTTCTTAGTTCTGATATGAATGACTTACCTTTGACTAGACTGGGGAGGAGATTAGTCGGTGTGCACATAAACTGGTGTGGACTCCCTAATCGTTAAACCAAATAAAAATAAAAAAAGTTGAAGAAAAATATATTAGAGATAATCTCATAGATGAATACCAAGGTCCTAAATTACAGCTACTATTTAGCTATCTCCTAAATATTAGCTATCCCTAAATAAAAACATCCTAGAATCTAGGGGGCCGAAATTCTTCTTGTAATATCCTAGAGTGAAGGAGAATATCTAGTATTCTTTGGTTGTAGCCCATTATTGGTAATTTTCCTCTTATTTAAGCTACTATTTGGTGACGTTTTTTTAATTATTTTTTAAACCAAAAAAATAATTTTGTTTAAAAAACATATTCAATTACTATTTAACAATAATGATATATATGAATCTTAGGTCATTTTTGGTTGAGTGTTAGGGGGATGAAATTAGATAAAGTTAGTTCAATAATAACTTAATAATATGTTTGGATCACTTATAGTAACCGAGTCGATCCTATAATTGTAACGATCCAAAATTTCTCTTGGACAACATTACATCTAAAACCATTCACATCATGAGAGCAACTACTAAAATTTATCAATAAAGATAATTTTCATTCATTATGTATAATATCTACTGCATCATCTCAAAGGAATATGTCAAATCATGGTCATAATATTAAAAGAATATATCAAACTATGACAATTACATTCAAAAGAATTAAACGTAACTTTGCAGCAGATAACAAAAGATTAACATGAACATTATCTCAAAAATAATTTCCTAGTTTAGGACATAGACATAACAATCCTAGATATCCCCTTCCAGATCCAGATGCCCATCCACTTGAACTTCCCAAGGTACTTGCTCATCGACTCCAAGTTTTTCCTCTAAGCTATAATCTGAAAAATATGATATTTGTAAAGGGTGAGCACTAAGTTCTATAAGAAAATCCTCCCAAACTCGAACAAGGTTTAGAAACTATGTAAAATCAATTGGTCTCATTTCACAATTATTATATATCAATTTTGAAAGAAAGCAGGGACATTTCAATAGATCTTAAGTTTACACAATAGCAATAAATTAAGTGAAGTAATAACGTCAAATTACAAATAACAAATCATTTCCAACCATAAACTATTTCCTACAAGTTTTTGTAGAATCTCATACTTCCACAAGCTCTTGTAAAAAACAGTTTCTGGTACAATAAACCATAAACCCACAACTTGTATTCGTATCTCAGGTATGATGCATGATTCTCATAAATAAACACATTGAGAATATCTTGGCCCACACACACACTCTCAAATCCTCGCAAGGATATCCAACTTTTATGAAGGGCGTATACCAACTCATGGCAATGACGAATCCAAACCAGAAATAGTATACTAACTCTCAATCTCGATAACATGTGAGCGAATAGTGGTTTAATCCTCGCAAGACACCAATCCCACTACGAGTGATAGGGAACCTTCAAACTTACACGGAGTAAGAAACGCATCTAACCCACTCTACGATATCCGGTCAACATCCACCTATGGTCATTCAAACATCCACAAAGAGATACAATAATCCAATCAATTTCTCTAATCACAAATACATTCAAAAATTATCAAATTTCACAAGTAATATCCTAATAGAACAATTTAAGAAAATATGCAAGAGATCATCATAAATATCATTTTGTGGTTCAATATAAAACACTAAAATTTTGAAATCAAGAACAAAGAAAAAATCAAGAGAAAAATCCATTTCTTTTGAAAACTAAGGTTTTGAGTCAAAAAAAAGAGATTTAATAGTTATTCCACCATAGATTTGTTTAAAACAAGATAGTGTTTGGAAGAATATCAAGAATCAATGATTTACTAACAAATATATAAGATTTAGAGTCAAAAGAATACATATAAGTAAACCCTATCCTCAATGTAAGAGAATATAAAAAACCCCTACCTTCTTCTTCCGTAGTGTTCTTGAAAAACTTGAGATTTGATCTTTTCCAAACTTGAATCAACCCTTTAATCTTTTGTTTCCCTTTCTTTCTTCTTCTCTAAGCTTTTCTAGGGTTAGAAATTTTGAAATGGGGCTTAGGGAGGTGTCATTAAGTATTTATAGTGGAAGAAATGGTGTCTTGTGCGCGATTCTGAGAGTCAGAATTTGTAACTGATGTTCGAACATGCTTAGCTCCCAGTACTTTGGCTTTTTCATCAGACAAAAAGTTCTGGAATGCACTGTCGTTCGAACGGATTTTCACATTTGAACATAGGACGTTCGAACGTAGGTCGTTCGAACATACTTTCACGTTCGAACGTACTTTCTGTTTCTGTTAAAACTTCTAGTTCATTTTTTGCCTATTTAGAGATCGATTTAAAAAATTTTCATGAAATACACTTTTGTAGCTCTAGAAGTCTAGTATCTATTGAAAAAATTTCAGCTCAAACAGACATTAAGATAAAAAATTATGGTCCAAATACTAAGACAGTGTCTAATTTCTTCTTAATTGAATTCTTTCTAGAATGTGTTTTCATTCCGAGATACTTCCTAACTTTATTATACCCCATGTTACCTATTCCAATATTTTTCGACCTTCCGGGTTCAATGAACATCTTATTTTGACCTAAAAGTATTTAGAAACTCATCTATAATCCCTTCTAAGTTTAAACACCTTAGAAACTTAAACTTAACAATCAATTTGTCTCCCAAATATTTATTTCTACTATTATAATGTATGTAGTTCATTCTTACGTCATTACATATATTAGAATTATTAAACAAATTTATCATTATATTTATATAAACATATGAGGTTTACAATAATATCAATAAACATAACATTGAGGGTACAAATCAATCCCTGTGTGATAGGTGGTTTAAAATCATTTCTAACTGGTATTAGGATGAAAAAAAAAATAACGCAAGGACCTTTGATTTAGTTTTGGATGTGAGTGGATTCAAGGTTACTTTCAACTTTTTAACTTAATACGATAATTTAAGATTTAATTCAAATATAGGATTGGTATTAGAACATTGACCTCAAACCTTATCCCAAACTGGAATCAAATAATAAATAATAAGATAGAATAAAACAGTAAAAAGATTCTTATGATCGGTAGGGTTTAAATTGAAATTATTTGTCCGATCCGATCCGATCCCAACCCATCCCATCCCATGTTGTATTTGAACAAGAACCATAGTATGCGAAAAAAAATAAGATTATATATGTGCCCCCATATAATATTACACGGGTGACAAAGGTAGAAGGAATGAAACAAATCCAAAATAAAAAGATATATTAAAACATAGGCAAAAAAATAAAAGTAGTATTGAAGAAAACATTAGCAAACTATACCACTCAATTTAGTTCTTATGGACATCCCTGGCAATCCCATGGAGCATGGAGCATGGAGCATGGAGCATGGAGCATGCTTAAATGGTTAATATTGAACCAGACACTGCATATAATTGACGAAGCGTTGGAGGGTATCGAAAATTTATGTGATTTAGTACGTTTATAGATTACTTTATTGAGTAATGGTTCATATGGCTTGGATGAGTCATATTC